GTAAAATGCCTTAGCATAGTCAATAAAACACAAATAAACATCTCTGTGGTATTCTCTGCTTTCAGCCAAAATTCATCTGACATCAGCAATGATTTGCCCTGTTCCATGTCCTCTTCTGAATCCAGCCTGAACCTCTGGAAGTTCCCCCATCAATGTACTACTGCAATCATTGTTGAATGATCTTCATCAAAATTGTATTTACATATAATGTCAATGATATTGTTCTATAATGTAAGCATACTGTTGTATATCCACCATATGACAACAGGGTTTTAAACCAATAACTACAAGAGAATAGATTTGGTGTTGTTTTAAGTCACTAAATGTATGGTAATTTATTACAGTTGAAATAGGAATCATCATCTACTGTCTACAGATATTAGAACTCCTTGATTTAAGACCTATCCTGAAGTAGTTGCTTTGCAGGGGAATGTGAACCCTTCTCAAGATCCACGCCTATCACTTCTCATTTTCTTGCCTCAAGATTTACAAAAAGGAGCCCTGGTAGCACTGTCAGGTGAGCATTAGACTGCTATCTGTAAGGCTGACAGTTCAAACCCATCATCTACTCTGTGGGAGAAAGATGAGACCATCTGCGCCCTTAAAGATTGATGGACAAGAGAAAGGTGGGTGAGGGGAGACGTCGGACAGGGCAAGATGTGACAAAATAAAAATTTATGAATTATCAGGGGTTCCTGAGGGAGGGGAAGGAGGAGAAAAGAATGAGGACCTGATGCCAGGGGCTTAGGTGGAGAGCAAATATTTTAATAATGATGAGGGCAATGAATGTACAAATGTGCTTTACACAATTGATGTATGTATGGATTGTGCTAAGTGTTGTATGAGCCCCTAATAAAATGATTAAAAAAAAGATTTACAGCCTCAGAAACACTGTGTAATGTTGTTATGAGTCAGAATCAACCCAATGACAGTGGGGGAGTGTGTTAGACTTAAAAAGACTCAAATTCTGGAAGGCCCCATCAGAACAGGTACATAGCAAAATAGTTGACTATAGTTTAACAAATTTGAGAAGTTATTTGCAAAGATTGCTAAAACACAGTTGTTTTAAATAAAAAAAAAAGGTCACTTTTTTTTCAGGAAGCCTAGAGCATAACAGGGGTTTGACCTACTAAGAGTTTAACTTTCGAGCCGTCAATCTATTTGTAGTTGTTAGTTGCTGTCAAGTTGATTCTGACTCATAGTGACCCCCCCACCTCCCCGTCAACCCCATGTGTGCGGAGTAGAACTGCATTCCATGAGTTTTCAAGGCAGTGGCCTTTAGGAAGCATACTTACTCCTAAAGCACTTCTTGTGAGTTTAAGCTGCCAACCTTTTAGCTAATAGTCTAGTGTTTGACCATTTGCACCCCTCCAGAGGACTCTGCTCTATTTTAGGGACCTGATTTTAGTCTCTGTAGTACTACAATATAGTCATATGACGATGGTAATGATCCAGTAAAAGAGGGAAATTTAGTGATGTGCAGAGAGGAGTCAGAGCTAACTGCTGAGGGGCTTTGGCTGTTGCATAGGAGGGAAGGGAGGTACTGTGGGTCAGTCAGCTTTAGTGATAAACAGATCATTCGGATCCCTTTCTGAGTCAATGAAGAAGTCTGTGATCAACTGAGAGTATGAGCAGGGAAGGATATAAAAGACTTTCAGGATAGTAGGAACGGTGGAAGGGCAAACTCACTGAGCCTGGAGATGTAAGACTCCGACAAAATGTTGATAGGAGAAAACGCACACGGAACCCTGCAGAAAGTCTACCAGTGACTATTTACCACTGAAGCCCGCGGGCCGCTCCATCGGGAACCTCCCACCGGATGTGACTGGTTTGTTTTCCTCCGGTGTATTCATTAACGAGTTCCATATCAACCAGTTGCCACTTCTCCGCCTTGACCCTGTGGGATCACGAAACACTTTGGAAACGCCAGGGGGCGATTTTGCTTTATCACGTAGGGTCATGAGTCACAGTTTACTTGATGGCTTACAGCAACAACAAAGTCCGGTGTCCCCTCGTCGTTGGGGCTTCAAGGACTACCTGTGACGGCGACATGCACCCTTCCCTGCGCAAAGCTAGTTCTGCCAAGTGTGGGGTTGTGGAGCCTCTACTTCTGTGGTTATCTTGGAAAGCAAAGGCATCTTTGTTGCTTGAGATCTTCACAGAAAAAAAGGCAAAAAAGGAAATCGAATGATTTGTTCCACAGCGGCTAAGTACCCACATATCATGTCACTCTTACCTTCCATGTCCAGCCTTCTATTGAAAACCATGTGGAGCATGCCATTTGTACAGCCAACTACTTCAGCTTGTGGCCAAGGACTCCAAATTCCCTTAATATCCTTCCACAAGGAATGAATGAGCTTCCCCACAGACCATAGGTTCAGATAGTATCAAGCGTAATGAGACTGTAATTGATACAGGGAGCTGTGGACCACACTGGATGACATTGTCAGAGAAGGTGACACCAAAATGGCTGTCGATAAAAATTTTGTGCTGTTTCCATAGTAACTTATTTTTTTTAACATTTTATTAACTTTTTTTTTCCCAAAAAAAAAATCCCCGTATTACCACAAAAACAATTTTTGTAAGCCCAGTGTATCGTGTATCAATATATGAGTATACGAGAGAGGCTTCAAAAAGTTTGCGGAGAAATGAAATAAAAGATACATTTTTCTACAAACGTTTTGAAGCCCCCTTGAAGATAGTGGGAGTTTGGTTCTAGACCAGTTGCTCCTCAGGCGAAAGATAGAGCTTTCTACTCCCATTAGAGAATTATAGTCTCAGAAACTCTAAGGGGCCGTTCCATCTGTCCTTTAGGAGCACATGCTTTTGGGAAAACGAGAGCCAGGAGGACCCCTGGTGTGTAGTTGTTATGGCTTGGGCTGTGATTTGCATTGCCCGAAGTTCAAAACCACCCACAGCTCTGTGGGAGAAAGACTGTCAATAGGTACAGAGGGTCTCTATGAGTCAGCATTGACTCGTTTGCAGTGACTTTGATTTCTGTGTACCTACTAAGTTAAAAGTCTATGTTAATTTACTTTTTCAACCTTCTAACGACCCCTGGTGGTGCTGTTGGACAAGCATTAAACTACCAACCACAAGGTAGGCAGTTCCAAACCCATCGCTATGTTGTGGGAGAAAGATGAAGCTGTCTACTCTCTAAAGATCTATAGCCTTGGATACCCTATGTAGGATGGCTATGAGTCAGAATTCACTTAGTGACAGTAGATTTAATGCCCTCGGCTACATTGACACAGTAGCTGCAACAAAAGCTCAAACATATAAGTGTCGAGATGGCACAGGGCCGTTTGTTCTGCTGTACCTAGTGGTACTCTGAGTGAGAATCGATGATGACACAAAACAAGACTATAAATCGTTACGGAAGGAGACAGCTTCATCTTTCTCTCAAAGAGCAGTTGGTGGGTTTAAACCATAGACCTTACAGCTAGCAGCCCAGTGCAGCACCACCAGGGCTCCTTTGGTAATAATGCACATGATCAGCAAAACTAAGAGAGTCCCTTGAGGAGATGGAGTACTACAGTAGCTGCATCAACGACTAAAAGCATAACAAGGATTGTTGAGTGTGGCACAGGACTGGCAGTGTTTTATTCATTAGACATGAGGTCACCATGAGTCTGACCCAGCTCATGGTCCCTAACAACAACAGCAACATGATAATTTCATAAAACATCATATATATATGTATATGTGTGTATATATATATCTTTTTTTTAAGAAACACTACCAAACTGTTTTCCAGGATAGCTATACCATTTTCCATCACCAACAGCATTATATGAGTGATCCACTTTCTCTGCCTCCTCACTAACATTTAGTATTGTCATTATCTTTTATTTTAGCCATTCTAAAATAAAAATGGAAGGAGCCCTGGTGACATGATGGGTTAAGCATTGGCTGTTAATCACAAGATCATAGATTCAAAGCCACCAGTTGCAGGTGAGGCTGTTTGTGCCCATAAAGGTTTGCATCTCGGAAACCCTAAGAGCAGTTCTACTCTAAACAGGGTTGCTATGAGTGGAAATATCCCTGATGGAAGGTGTTTTGTTTTGGTTTTAATAGGTATGCAGTGATATCTCATTGGGGCTTTAATTTGCATTTCTCTAATGGCTAGTGTGTTAGTCTGGGTAGACTAGAGAAATAAATTCATAGGCACTCAGATGTGTATAGGAAAGAGTTTTATATACAAAAGCAATTTCACATTGAGAAAACATCCCAGCCGAGTGCAGATCAAGTCCATAAGTCTGATATATGCCCATATGTCCGATACCAATGTATAAATTCCTCTGCAGACTCACGAAACACATGCAATGATGCTGAATGCAGGAAGATCATAGACCAGTGGGTGGGAAGTCTTGTGGATCCAGTGGCAGATTTCTCCAGCTCCGAGGCTCTGGCTTCCATCAGCCAGTGTCCGTGTGGCTTGTCAACTCCAATGCCTCTCAGGGAGTAGGCATGTGTCCCACCTCAAGCGAGCTATTTACGTCCTTAGCGCCTCTCAATATTAAATTGCTCTTGTCATCAAGGGGCCACCTGATTGACGGGCTATACTCCACCCCTTCACTCTTACTCCTCTCAAATTGACAACAGATTATGTAACTACCACAGCTAGTGATGTTGAACAACTTTTCAGGTGCTTGTTTGCAATCCATATATCATTGTCAGTTTTCTAATTGAGTTGTTTATTTTGTATGGATGACTTTTAAGTGTTCTTTCCATATTCTAGATACTAATCCTTTGTGGTGTGCATGGTTTTCAAATATTATCTCCAACATGTGGCTTGTTTTAAATTCTCTGCCCATGGACTTTCATAGAGCAAACATTTTTTTTTCATATGTTCCATATACTATTTGCCTTATCCTCCATCTCAAAGGTTGTTTTTCTCCCCAAATTTGCTGGTGTGGGTGGATTTTGTGCACGAGACTATTTTACTCTGGCATCGTCTCAAGTGATTCGTCCTTGTTTTTGCCCTTTTCCTTTCTTACTTGGCGAGATATGGCTTTCTGTTCAAGGATGTTTTTGTGGTCTTTGTCCAGTTTTAGCCCTGTGATAACCTTGCTGGGGTGAATGTCTAAATGGACGGTTATGCCATTGGCTTTATCTCGCTGCTGCTCTGTGTAGATGGTGCATTTCTTCTTGTAAACCTGGACCACGTTGCCAATTTGCTGACCTTTGTAATGTTCTCAAACAACCTGAACTTCATCATCCTTGCGATGGGCATGGACCAAACATTGCATTTCTGTCTCAGTTCCTTGGAAAGAGGGGTAGACATAATCGTCCTGCGAATGTGGGAAGGTGCATTGAAATGCCTCTCGAGGTTTTGCTCTGGTCACAAAGGGTTGGAACTTCATTTTGGCCACTGGTCCTTCAACGATGGCCCCCAAAGGGAAAAGAGTTACAAGTTGTTTCTGGTTCTGTAAGTTTACCTATCCTAAACATTTTCTATTGTGTTTTCTTCTTAAAAGTTTTACATTTCAGTCCGTGATCCAAGTTTTCTATAAATGGTGATGGTTAGGTCATTTGGGGGGTGGAATATAGTTGTGTGTTTTTTGTTGTTTGTTTTTTGCCTACAATTGTCCAATTTCCCTAGCACCAATTGTTTAATACATTCCATCAATCCTATATCTCTATGTGCTACTCTTCTTTATCCAACTCTCTTTAGATAGTAATGTGACTAGTTCTGCTTTAATAGGAAGAAAATTGGACTCAGAAAGAAGAAACAGTATGTAAGAAGCAAAGAAATATTTGAGGTCAAAATTTAAAATCAAAGTGAAGAAGGTAAAGAAGCCTTTGGAGCAAAACTATGGTAGCGCTATCAAACTATGGTAAAGGTATCAAAAGTTTACAGAAGCAAAAAGAGAAAGGATGACACACTAGGGGTAATTAGTATGAGCCTTGCATTTTGCAGATGATGGAAATAGGGCCAGGGAGACTAAGTGCCCTGCTTAGATGTACCCTTGTGTGGTAGTAGATTTGGATAACAACCTATAGCTCTTAAGACCAATACAGTGTTCTTTTTTTACATCCCATTCCTTCACTAAGCTGGTGATTGTGAATTATAGCTGCCTTGTTGAGTATAACCATCTTCCCTAGATAAAACAAACAGTTATGTGTTCAACTTATGTGTACAACAGGTGTATGGTTATAAACAGCTACTAGGTATACAGAAGGTGAGGGTTCAAACCCATTCAGAGGTTCTTCAGGTGAAGCCTCCATGATCTCCTTCTGAGAGAGCACGATGTTGAGATCCCTATTGAAAGCAGTTCTACCCAATTAGAGCAGCCGGTCCACAGAGAAGACCACATGGCCAGCCCCACTATGAGACATGATGCCCCTCACTGATTCATGGCCCTGCGGGGGACAA